ATTGTTATTACTCATCTTCTTCCTATTCGTAGTAGTAGTCGTAGTTGTCGTATATGCATTCGTATTCGTAGTTGTCTTCTTCGGCGTCTAATCCTTATGAATATAACTAATATCATGTTTCGCCTTCTTCGTCTTCGTGTCAGTCGAAGGTGAGGGGGTGAGATCGAAGTGGAGCCCCCCTACCGGGAAATCGGTTTCGGTTTCGTGTTCGTGCATGCTGCGCGTGCGGGCGAGGCGAAGGTGCGTGGGCGGGCGAGAAGAAAATCTCCTCCGGCTGAGGCGCGGCCGGACCAAATGACTCTTTCCGGGGGCCGGTGGTCCGCGATGTCCCGCCGGTGTCCCGCCTCCGGCTGAGGCGCGGCCGGACCAAATGATTCCTTTCCGGGGGCCGGTGGCCCGCGGTGTCCCGCCGGTGTCCCGTCGGTGTCCCGATGATGATGATGATGATGATGATGATGATGATGATACTGATAATGTCGATGATGTTGATGATGATGATGGTGATGATGATGATAATGATGATGATAATGATGAAGATGATGATGGTGATGGTGGTGATGATGATGGTGTCCCGATGATGATGATGATGATGATGATAATGATAATAATGATGATGATGATGTTGACGATGTTGATGATGATGCTGATGCTGATGATGATGATGATAATGATGGTGATGGTGGTGATAATGATGGTGTCCCGATGATGATGATAATGATGCTGATGATGATGTTGCTGATGATGATGATGATGGTGTCCCGATGATGATGCTGATGTTGATGATGTTGATGATCCTGATGATGATGAGATGATGGTGAGATGATGATGATGATGAAGATGAAGATGATGATGGTGTCCTGGTGATGATGATGATGAGCTTGATGATGATGCTGTTGGTGATGGTGATGAGCATGGTGTCGCAATGATGATGATGACAATGATGGTGTCCCGATGATGATGATGTTGATGATGGTGAGAAGATGATGATGATTTTGATGATGGTAGCCCGATGATGGTGATGATGATGATGATGCCCCGATGATGATGATGTTTTTCATGATGATGACGATGATCAGATAATGATGGTGGTGCTTGGTGATGAGGGTGTCCGATGATGATGATGCTGATGATGATGGTGGTGACGATGATGGTGTCCCGATGATGATGATGGTGATGATGATGTTGATGATGGTGGTGATGAGGTGATAATGATGATGATGGTGTCCCGAAGATGATGATAATGATGATGATGACGGTGATGACGATGATGTTGATGATGATAACGTTGATTGTGAGATCGATTGTGATATCGGTAGTGAGATCGATAGTGAGACCGAGTGTGAGATCGATTGTAAGATCGATAGTGAGATCGATAGTGAGATCGATTGGGAGATCGATAGTCAGATCGATTGTGAGATCGATGGAATGAAATAGATCGAGTGAGATCGATTGTGGGATCGATCGAGTGAGATCGAGCGAGCGAAACCGATGGTGAGATCGATAGTGAGATCGATAGTGAGACCAATCGAGTGAGACGGTGGTTCCTCCCCCCCCCGAACCCCCGTATCACCCGAAGGGTGGTCGTATAGGTAATATTATTCTTCGTTGTCTCAGTATTAGTAATATTCGTGGTCTTTTTAGTATGTGTCGTATTCCTCCTCCTCCTCCTCCTCCTCTTTCCTCCTCATTCTCCGCAACCTCCTCCTTCTCCTCCTCCTCCTCCTCCCTCCTCCTTCCTCCTTCCTCCTGCCTCCGTCCTCCTTCCTCCTTCCTCGTTCCTACTTCCTCATTCCTCCTTCCTCATTCCTCCGTCCTCCTTCATCCTTCATCATTCATCCTTCCTCCTTCCTCCGTCCCCCTTCCTCCTTCCTCCTTCCTCCTTCCGCCTTCCTCCTTCCTCCTTCCGCCTTTCTCATTCCTCCGTCCTCCATCCTCCGTCCTCCTTCATCCTTCCTCCGTCCTCCTGTCTCATTCCTCCGTCCTCCGTCATCATTCCTCCTTCCTCAATCCTCTTTCTTCCTTCCTCCTTCCTCCTTCCTCCTTCCTCCGTCATCCGTCCTCCTTCCTCCTCCTCCTCCTCCTCCTCCTCCGCCTCCGCCTCCGCCTCCGTCTCCGCCTCCGCCTCCTCCTCATCCTCCTCCTCCTCTTCCTC